CTACAGTGCTCGGTACACCTGGGTGTACCGCTCGGTACACCTGGGTGTACCGAGCGGTATACCGTACCGTACCGGTACCGAGCCTGGGTCGAAACACCGGTACGGTACGGTACGGCGAACCTTGGTACCGCTAATACCCAAAAACATAAAAATTTAACTATTTTGTCTCTACTTTTTAGGCTTTTTAGGCTATAAATACCTCATTTGTGCTTGGTTGATAGATTCATCCTTGAGTTTGCATAGTATTGTAAGTCTCTCTTTGAGTGTAAAGAGCCCTATCTCCTCGACCTTCTTAAGTTAAATTATCATTCTTAGTAAGAGGTGAGAGGTTTGAATTTAAGGTTCTCTCTTAGGCCTTGTAAAAAGAGGGTTGTAAAGGATTATTGATTTTCACCTTTAGAAAAAAGATTGTTAAGGAAATTCAATGGCATCGAGAATACAAGAATCGAGAGTGGACATAAATTAGGAAAACTGAACCACTATAAATTGTGTGCCTATCTCTGGTTTGTATTTTTCCCTTATGCTTATATACTTACTTAATTTTGTTTTTGATACTTGTTCTCGATTAAAATTTCATAGTTGATTTGGATTCACACAAAAGCTATTCCACCTCCTCTTAATACCATTAAGATCTTAGCATCAATTTTATCCAATTGTCTCTCCCTTTCTTTTGTACGTTACATTTATCCAAATTTTAGTTTACGATGGTTGACTGTTTGCTTATCTTATATATTATATCATTTATCTATTTGATTGCTAGCTAATATATGTCCAATATATTTGTCTAATTTTCAACATGATGTCTTGTTGATTTATCCATGTACAGTTGTATGCTTAATGTACTAACTTGTGTATGTCAGATGTACTCCAATTACCTCTATGATGCAAATATCCATCAATATAGATACCTGATTGATCTAACCAGATTACTGTCATTTGTCTACGAGTATATATAAACTGATATTTGCCAATCTTAATCTTTGTTATACCTGAAGTAGTTGTAAGCAGTGTTGTTAAAAAGTGCTACGCGCCAAAAGGCACTAAAGTCCCAAAATGCCCAAGACGCTTGGCACCCACCTAACCAAAGCGAGGTACTCCCAAATATTAAAATTTAAAATTATATATTATGCTTGATAAATAATTAAATATGATCACAAAAATAGAAATAGTGCAGTAAGTTAATCGACCTCAATATGGTAACATGTAACTGAGATATCTAACTCTCTAGCAACAAGTTAATTGACCACAAACTCCTAAGTTCTAACTCATAACAGAGTAATAGTGCACCACCTCAATATGGTGCAGTAAGTTAATCAGCAAAAGTTAATACCAATAAACTAAGAGAGGATTGAGAAGATCAAATAAATGGTGGCTATGGAGGAAGGTAGGGGAAGGTGGAAATCGTTGGTGAACAAAGCTGGAGAGAGTGACAGATGAAGTTACAGCGGCGGATGGATGAAGCTGCAATGGCAGATGAAACGAAGGTAATTAACGAGGTTGCCAACGGAGGTGGACAAAGCATCCAAATGAACAATGTGGACGAAGCATATGAAACTGCAGTAGCAAACAAAGCATACGAAGGCGGCGGACAAGCAGTAGGGTTTCGCTTCTGGTTTCTTTCATTGGGTCGAGCGCAAAGGGGGATGTGGTGGTGGTGTTAGAATAAGTGACATTAGTTAGTTTGATTGAACCAACTTACCTAGTCAAACCCAAGTTCAAAGTTGACCTGATTTGGGGGCACTCACCTGAGGCACCTAGTGCTTGGGCTGAAGCATGCCCGAGTGATGCTACATTGAAATGCCTCACCGTAAGGCTTTGCAAGGCGCTTGGGTCTCACCTCGCCTCGCCCGAGCACCTGGGCCATCGCCCAAGCACCTTTTGAAAACACTAGTTTCAAATACTCTATATTTCTTAGAGGTGGATAACAACGAAATACAATGAAAATTTTAAAGCATGCTTCTTTAGTTGCATGTTGATGGTTTCAAAACTTCAACGTTTCAAGATTTTCATGAAATCAATTCAATAAGTTTAGAGCTTTAAATAGTTGACTAGTCAATATTTTACAAGTTTCAAACTTCAAGACCGTATTATACTTTGAGATTATTTTATATTTTGTGGTATGTGTTTTCTTAATTGACTTATATGTTATCTATACTTTGATAAAGGTCTATAGCTTATTATTTGCTTCTTATCTATCCGTGTAATATCTCGAAATCTTGTATATCTCGAGGAAACTCACAATATGTGTGGTTAACTAACAGGCTAGACTTTTGGGCTTGGGAACAAGGCAATTTTTATACCATGAGCTGTCTAAATTCTCACAACGTAATGCTACCCAACATGTGTTTTTTCCAAAAAGATACAGTTGAGCATCTTGAATACTAGAAATTCAAGTCACTAATATGTTATCTTCATCTCGACTTGTTTGGTAAAAGGATGGGCAGGATGCCAAGGTATGGTTGCTCCTTTGCAATTTAAATATACAGAGTTCCAAGTCATGGGCATCACTTCTTTGCTTGCAAGGGTAAGGTTGCATCAATTGACCCTACTTATATCCTTTTTTGATCTAGAGCAATTTACCTCAAAAAAACACTATGGAGCTATCAAATTGTTATCTCTCAACCAAACAACTTCAAAATAGAGGAAGCAATTGTTTCATTTGCTTTGATCTTGCATTAACTTTTAAAGGCGAGTGTCTTAAAAAAATTTACATAAGGTACGAGAAAAAGACTCTCAATCAATATGAGAGGCACTTAAAGAAAAGATTGAGAACAAAGCAAGAAAGGCTTTTGGATGAATTGACAACAAATACTTTAGGCTAAAACTAAGGATCCTGGTTTCTAAGTTTCAAATCTCGGTTTCCTGTCATTTTTGCTCATGGACATACGGGTATGTACCAATATGATTGGGTGAATCGTGTATTGATAGGCCCTCATGACTGACCAGAACAAGTTTGGTTGGAGGAGAAGGAAGACGCGAGGGAGGAGGGGAGGAAGAGAATGGGATGGAGGAGGAGGAGGAGGAGGGAGTGGAGCAAGAGGCCCAAGGAAGCCATGCAACGGGGAGGAAGAGGCAATGGCTGTGTGACAAGGAGATGGAAATGGCAATGCAGGAAGGAGAAGGAAAAAAGAGAGAAAAAGAGACAGGGCAACAATGAGTGGTCATTATTCTAAAAGAAGATATGGGTGCCATGCGATGAGGTTATCACATGGTACCATTTGAAACCAGTCCATTTATCTTACCAAACAGTTAGCCCATACCAGATTTAACCAAACAGAATCATCTGGACCATGTCCCAGTTGCCTGCAGAACTGGTAAATACCAGCCCATACCGATCGGGATGGGCAGTACTTAGACCTTGATTGGTTTACCACTATAATACAACAACTTGGAATCAACAACTTTATATCAGTTTCCTGGTTCTAAGATCTGAAAGTTTGATTGTGTAACTCAACAATAATAATAATGATCAGAACACATCGTGAGCAGGCTGGAAGTGGAAACTAACTTGAGGACAAAAAGACACCAATGTATAAAGAGACACCAAACTACATTTTTCACATGGCTAGATGTAACAAGATATTAATATAATAGATGACTAAACTTTAGTTGGAATGAAGCCAGCAAATCAGCAATGAAGTCAAACAGCTAAACATACCAATGTTTGGTCTTGGTTTTCTCCTTTCTTTTAGTATCTCTGGGCGAGGAATTACGGTTCCAGATGCTGCTAATCCTCTAGAGACTCTTACCTTAGATCCATCTTCCAGATATTTGTACCCAATTTTACATGGTTTCCTGCATGAGGCATATTTTACTTGCACATGACAACCAAACTTGAGGATTCAAAAACTAAAACAAGTTGATGAGAGAAAATTTTGGAGAAATCATACCCAGTAGCTGGATCAAGAACTTGGACATTTGAAACATGAAGGGGAGATTCAATGGAAAAGATTCCACCTTCATGTCCTTGCCCTTGCTTGATGTGCTTCTTCACCTGAAAAGAATAACATATGCTAACTTCGATCACGAAAGAGAACTGATTGAACTTGTATTGAAGATCAAACTTGAGTCATCCTAGTTTAAATTTAATAAGAGAACAATAAACCTGAGGAACTATAATCAGAACAATGAAAAACGGAAAATCATATGAATCACCTATAAAACACTTCCAGAACCATAAGTTATGCAAAAAAAAAAAAGGATTGGTTAACCTTCAAAGGTTTGGTCTTTATTGCTAAAATTTTTTTATAGTGTCAGGAAAGTTTCAAAAAGTTAAAAAAAACATCATCAGAGAAAAGGCAAGGCTGGTAGAAAATTCACAGAGGCAAAAGCACCTATTTCAAAAATAGTGGGAATTACAAGATATTGAGGTTGCAATAAAGAACTCTTCAACTGAATAGAGTAAGACAACTGTATTAAATAAATCCTTCAACAAACTTACAAACAGAACAAATAGGCAGACACCAAATATGCACTTTATATAATCACCATAAATTGATGAGGTTTGTGCGCATGATTGGACATAATTGCGAAAGTTCTTTGATAGCATAATTCCAACATTCAATGAACTCTCTGGAAAGTACAGAAGTAAATAAAAATTAGATCTTTTGGTAATCAAACAAACGAAGGCTTAACACGAAAAAAAAAAGTCAAATTTTTACCCCAACACTGCATCAAAGTTCTACCAGAATAAACAAAAAAATAAAAAATAAAAACCTCCAAAAAACATCAAGTTTGATCATCTTCAGCTACAGTACCAAATCCGAAAGATTTTTAAGGAAATCAGTGCCGATGCCATATCCTAAGCTAGACACCAACATAGAAAAGTCAATCTCAAACAAAGAAAATCCAAGAACCAATTCAGCAAAGTAATCACTGTACATTAAAGAGAACGGACCAGATTCTTCCCTTCGACGATGACCCGATTCTGGGATCGGATGACGCGCTTGATAATACCCGTCTCGCCCTTATCCTTCCCTCTTATGATCATTACCTGCAAAAGATCACCCTCAAAATTCATATATTTCATCAAAAGAGACACCGATTTGAGCGGAAAAAACGGTTTTTAGATCACATTGTCGCCTCTGAGGATCTTCCAATGCTTGATTATCTTCTCAGCCGCCTTCCACCCCATTGCTTCTCTGTGCCTCCCGGGGGCTGAGCGGAGTTCCCCTAGGGTTTTAAAGGGGTACTGATATTTCCACCCACCATTTTGTCAGATGAGCGTATGGGTTAGTGTGCGCTTAAAAACGCGCGACATCAGGAAACTCCAAGCCGTCGGATACTAAGGGAATATTTAGGTATTTTCATTATTCACGACGTCTTTTATCTACGTGTCAGTTTCATAGAGAACAGTTTGTATTTTTTTTTTCTTTCGTTTCTATGTAGGAACTCAATAATTCAAAAAATTAAATAAATTTAAAATAGAAAAATACTGAAATATGTCCATGTAGATCTGATTCAAATATATCCTCTAATAAATTTTAAACTTTCTTTAAAATCCTGCTATTTTATGTATTATTTTTAGATTTTGATCAAAAATAATATATCACTTATTAGAAATATTTTTTTAGGATCAAACTTTTGGGATATAAGTAGAAGTTCAAAGGTAAAAAATATACATAAGTGCATGATATTTGACTATAAATAAAAAAATTAATGTGTTATTATCCATTTTACTATTGCAAATAAAAAATAACAAACTCAAATGCCCTACTTCAACAACATTTATTTCTCATATAAAAACTATTAAAGATTTACTTTGATTATGGGAGTCATCTCCTACTCATAATCAATTTACTTCTTCCAGATTTGGTCTTCACTTGGGCTTTTAGTGCGTAGAAGATACGTTGTTTACAGACAATATATTTGAATCACTGATGCAAATGTCTTTTGAGTTGTTTGGGCACTATTTTATGAACTGCATCAGCTCCCGCACTAATGACATGGACCTTTTAAGTGTCTCAAGATGTTTTATAGTTTTTGCATTCAAATTGTTTGAGATTCATGTGGCTCTTAGTTGTTTTACTCTGATATCATCCATACATATATCAAAGGTTTGAGCTGCTTACTATTGAAAAATAAATAAATTTATTATTTAGTTATCTTTAAAAAATTATAATCGATATGACTCATAAAAGAAACGTACCTCAATAGTACATGGTCATTCAGTAGGGCGTGCCTCCTCAACTATTACCTTAACTGTTTGAATCTTGGATTTTGATTATAAAATTAATTGGTAAATTATTTGATGTAATATATGTTGAGAAAAGTGTGTAGAATTAACTACGATAGCGGTAAGACATAAAGCAAATGTAGTGCCAAAGTCAAGATCAAGATTTCATTGAGAGTTCGAGAGTTCATCGGAAGTCCGAACGTTCATCGAAAATTCTATCGGAATTAACCGAGAAGTCCAAGAGCTTGCCAAATAAGCTCGTCGAAACTCGCCAAGAAAATCATCATAAAGTCTAGGAGCTTGCTAGGAGTCCGCTAGAATATTACCGAGAGATCGTTAGAAGTTCGCTATGAGATCGTCAGAAGCTTGTCGGAAGAACAATTGACATATTGGACCAAGATTGCTTTGTTAATATCTTAAATTATCATAGTTAGACCTTAAGTTAAGTTAGGATTGTGAGGTAATCTCACTAACTCAATTATAGGCCAATTGGGTCCTTAACAGGGTTGAATTGGGCCGGTTGAACAGTCCATTTAGCACCTGAAGTCACGGCCGATGGTGGCACCGCTTGAGACTCAGTCTCCTTGGTGCTCTGGGTGGTGGTACCATCTAGACTGAGCGGTGGTACCATTGGCAATTAATGCTATCAAGAGATAGTACTATTAGAGCTTGATCTCTGAGCGTTGTCAGGCGATGGTACCGCCCAAATTGAGCGGTGGTACCGCCCAATGTTAGTTTGCATATAGTAGTACCATCTAATAATGGCGGTGGTACCGCCAGTACATCGAAATCCCGAGATGTTATACTTTTTTGTTCTAATTCTGAAGCTATTAGGGCCTATAAATACTCCATCCTTTTCTGCATGAAAGGGTAACAAAATGCAATCAAAGATTGAATAAAATATTGAAGTCGTGAGGTGAAAGTATTGTAAAAGTAAAAAGAGTCCTCCTCCTCTCTTTATAAGTGTTGTGATCATTCAAGAGATGTGTGAGGCTTGTAAGGGTTATCTCCTAAACCCATGAAAAGGAGAAAGTTCTGTCAAAAAGGTAGTTAGTCTTTGTCTATTGAAGGAAGACCATTAGTGGACTCCGATGATCTCGACGGAGGAGAAATTAAAAGTGGATGTAAATCACAATGATTGAACCACTATAAATTTCGGTGTACTCAGTTCCATTCTGCTTTTCATTATTATCATTACTTTCTAAGTTAATTACTAGTTCATTTATTGAAGTACCTTCAAAATTGATTTTCAACGAATAAAAAATTTATAATTTGTTTTGCTGTACTAATTCACCCCCTATTAGTACCGCTCTTAATCCTAACATATACCACAACATTTAATTCCTCAATATCTCGTGCCTCTTAAGAATATAATTATGCCTCATATGTCTCAATATCTCGTGCCTCTTAAGAATATAACTCTTTAATGATCTATAAATAATGAAAAATGATCATTAGGACAGTTTTCCAAAAGAAATTATAATAAAAAATCTAAATTTGATTCCAGAATAAGGTACTTTCTTTATCAAATGATATTATTAATATCATTCTATTGATTATTTTCGAATGGGAATGAATCATTTCTCTAATCTTGGATATTCTATTTCATTTGACAAATTAAAGCATAAGATGTTCTTACAAAACTACCCTTATCAAATATCAAATATATGTTAACATCAAATCATATTATATGAAAAGTAGGGTACTATATACCTATACATAAGTTACCTATAATATAGTAGACAACCTTTCAACAAACAAAAGTATATAACACATACATCCAATAAAAGTTTATCACTAATTCTTTAGCATCACTTGGATGCAAATTTATCATCAATATTTTCAAACCTGCATGGGTTAGTCATTCAAATAAAAAATTAATTATGTGTAAGATATCCTTAGGATCAAGATGCTTTCATATTAGTGACTTCTCTAGTATTTAGTAGATTATGCGTAAGAGATACATCAAACATAGAAAAGATAAAAGATAGTTCCATTCTATTCATTAGATTCTTATCGACTATCATTCTATAATTACCAATATTAATATATAAGATATAGGAACATCAATGATAACATCAATAATATCTACTAAATGCCTAAATATAATACTCCTTATAATATCTAAGTGATATTGTCTTGGTGATAATGAGAGCAATATTACTTAACTATGTTTAATAGGTTCCATAAGTGACAGAAAATGATCTATAAAGTTTCGTCATGAAACTATTTAACTATAATGACTTTTCAACCACTTTTCATCATTAAAATGACTCGATCCTTGAGTTACCAACAAAATCCTTGAGTTACCAACAAATGAAACTACAATGATGAAATTTAAAAACTATCAATGATAATTAAAGAAAAATTTATATAAACTAAAACATGCCTATGCTTAAATCAACATTGGACATTCTATGCGTATAATAAGTATTTGATGACATAATTATTTCTTGTTTAAACCCATAAGAGACTAGAGTTATTAATTTAATAAAAAATTATCTAACTAGACAAAATGAGAAAATAAAAAAAGGACACACTGTTTAGATGCTCAAAAATCCAAAAGAACATTTGTCCACAAGTATCCTACTCAAAGATTTTCTAAAAATTTTAGATCATTTTGAACAATGTATCTATGCAATGCACTATTTTTAATTTTTCCTCTAAAATAGTGCTTCACCTATTAGAAAATTTTTTCTATACCAAATTATATATATATATATATATATATATATATATATATATATATATATTGTTGACTTATTTAAAAGCTCAAATGTAAAAAAATTACATGGATGCATTAGAAATAGAAAAAATAAGGAGAAAATAAAAAAATAACACATTGTTCAGATGCTCAAAATTTTACAAAAATATCAAAAAATTCTCTAAAATAAAACTAATGACATATGTCCAAAAGTGTCTTATTCAAAGCTTTTCTAAAATTTTTAGATCATTTTGAATAATGGATCTATGTGATACACTATTTTTTATATTTTCTCAAAAAAATGCTTCACATACTAGGAATTTTTTTATACCAAATTTTTTACATATATATTGTTGACCTATTTAGAAGCTGAAAAAAATATTATATGGATGCATTATAATTTGTTAGAAATAAAAATTAATTAGAAAAATTTAAAATAACACACTATTCAAAAGCTAAAAAATCTATAAAAATATTTAAAAATTTAAAATGAAAAACCAGTGACGTATGTTCATAAGCATTCTATTTAATGCTTTCCTAAAGATTTTAAATCATGTTAGACAACACATCTATGTGATGCATAGAAAATTTTTCATTTTCTATGTACATTTTTGACCTACTTAGAAGCTCAAATATGAAAAAATATTCAATGGATGCATTATAATTATTAGAGATAGAAAAAAACAAGGTGAAAATAAAAAAATAATACACTGTTCAAATTCTAAAAAAACTATAAAATATAAAAAATCTCTAAAATAGAAAACTAGTGGTAGATGTCCATAAGTGTCCTATTCAAAGCTTTTCTAAAAATTTCAGATCATTTTGAATAGTGCATCTATGTGATGCACTATTTTTAATTTTTCCTCAAAAAATAATGCATCACCTATTAGGAAATATTTTTTCTAAATCAAATTTTTTACATATATCGAGGATCTATTTAGAAATTCAAATGCAAAAAATATTATATTAATGCATTATAATTGTTATAAGTAGAAAAAAGGATAAAATAAAAAATGACACACTATTTAGATGCTCAAAATTTCATAAAATACTAAAAAAAAATCTCTAAATAGAAAACAAGAAACATATGTCCATAATATCATATTTAAAGTTTTAAAATAAATTTAATATCATTTTGAACAGTGCATATATGCGATGCATTAGTTTTTAATTTTCCTCGAAAAATAGTGCATCAACTATTGGGAAAATTTTTCCCTGAATCAATTTTTTTACCTATATTGTGGACCTCTTTAGAAGCTTAAATGTGAAAAAAAATTACATGGGTAAATTATAATTTGTTAGAAATGAAATAAACAAGGTGAAAATAAGACACTA